CAGAAGCGCTAGCCCTGATGTTATGATGATAGGCTATAAGCATCGTATCCGTCTTTGTGTTCCTGGATTGCCCACGGCCTCGGGGAGAATTGAGCGCCACGTTCTCGCCCACTGCACTCCACCACGGTGACCCTGCTTCTGACCCTGCTCGGCCCTGGATCAGTGGATAGGCGCGAGGTGGACACTGAAAGACTCCGCACACATAGCTTCCTAACACAGGCATTCGACAGCCCCTGACGCCAAATGTTCCAACGAGCGCCCCCCTTTCGGACTCAGGTCCTGTCGCAAAGAGAGCGATTCCGACCTGTCTGATTGCCATGGCAGGTTGTTTGTTGACAGGCCAGGCCATTGTTATGTACTGACCTCTAAGCTTTGCTTCATCAGGTTACCTACCTAGTACTACTCAACGCTGTATGGAGTGGCTGCACTCGTAGCTGGCGACCCAGCGCCCCTCAGCCCTGGGACGTCATGACTTGTGCATACCATCGTTCGCGCACCTCTACTGCGCAAGCCAGACTGTTGATCGTGGCTGAGGGTGGGCTTCACGTGCAGACGCGTGGACGTTGGAAGTGGCCCGCAAGAGATAGCGTGGCGGTAGTGTCTACCGTCTACCTCAGGTACCTCCAGGTGAGCAAGAAATGTGCTTGACAGGTCTTGAGTAAGCGTGAGTCGGCCGTCAGGCACAAGCAGGCTGGCCAGGAACCGCGGCAAGAGGCCGACGAGCAGCAGAAGAAAAAAAATGAACACAAGAGGAACAGGATGCTAGGACCGGGTTGTCCGCTCGGTCCGCAAGGGGTTTAAGTTAAGTCGCAGTGCATGTAATCCTCAACTGCTTGAATGTCACTCTCCACCGGAAGCAGAGGGCTCGAGGGGTTCCGATTCTGGTGAGAACTGATGAGAGCATTGGACGTTGGGTTTTATGCACGTTGGCCTGCAGTTCGCCTGGTCGGCCCTGCCCGGTTTCTACGCTCTTGTCTGGCTCGTCTGGGCTCATCGTCACCCCAGGACGCAGCCCAAGACCGCAAAGACCCAAGACAATCTGACCTGAACCTCCAAACCAACCCCGAACCCCAAAAACGTCACTACCGCCAATACAGAAACGGCCTGCCTCACCTCCTGCCGTCTATCCTTACCCGTCTCATACCTCCTGCCGACCGCCCCCTCTCACACCAGGTGGTCATACATCACACGATTGGTTTGTTTTCATCTACACCTGTAGTCTGGAGGTTAACGTCACGACCCTTCCATTGCTCAATTGCTGCACCCGTGCCTGTGTCTGCCGTCATCCGTCATCCGTCCTTTCTTCCCCCCGGCTTCTCTCGACACGCACTCTCACCAGGAGCATTCCAGCCCCAGCCAACTTAAATTCCGTCCGGTGATCGTACTAGTCTCGAACCAACAGTCAACCAACACCAACCCCCCGACGATACCAACCTCCCGGATTCATCCCGCCTTGAGATCCTCCTCTTCTCCTGTCGCCCCCTGGGAGCGACGATCTCGCGTTTTGCTTGCACCTGTGCCGGCGCACTGGCTTGACAGCCATGCAGCGTGTCTCGTCTCTGCTCCCTAGCTGGGACCGCAATCGCTCCAGTGCTAGCAGCCTTAGCAGTAACCACACACGCAAGCACAGCATCGACAAGGTCCGCGGCTGGGCCGACAAGATCCCGTCCAGCCGCCTCAGCACATCGTCGCGCCTCGGAAAGGAGGCTCTCTGGCCTACCACTCTTGACAAGGAGTGCGAAAAGGCTGCTCGCATCGTCAAGTCATTCTGCAGTATGTTCTCGGCTTCTCTCTCGACACCTCGTGATCCGGGCTAGCCGGGAGACCGTGGCCCTTTCCATCTGCTAACACTTCCTGACAGGCGATGGCTTCACCCTTCCTGATGACCGCCCTGGGAGCCCCATGACCCATTCCAGCACGCACTCCTCCAGCAGAATACTCAAGAAGATACCGCCGAGAATAATACAAAATGCTGTGGGCCTAGCAATATTCACATCGATGCGATCGGGCCTGTGGACTTCTGGATCTGGAGGCAGTGGCATTCTCATCGCCCGCAAGACGGATGGCACGTGGTCGCCGCCCTCGGGGTTGGTGTTGCAGACAGCAAGCCTAGGGTTTGTCATTGGCGTAGATATCTATGACTGCATCCTTGTTATCAACAACTTCACTGTTCTTGAAGCTTTCGCCAGGCCTAAACTCACGCTTGGCACCGATGTTGTGCTGTCCAAAGGTCCCCTTGTATCACTGGGCCTTCTCGAAAACGATGTCAGCTGGGCGGATCTGAGCGACAGCGCCATTACCTACATCAAGGCCAAAGGCCAGTTCTCGGATGCCAAATTAGAAGGCACCGTCATCCAGGAGCGAGGTGACGAGAATGAGAGATTCTACGGGATGCAGCTCAACGTGGCCAAGATCATGGCCGGCGATATTAACCAAAGCCTGCCCCAGCTCAGGCCTCTGACTGAAGTGTTGAAGGCAGCGGAGGGCAGAGTAGACTACGACATGGCTCTAGTTGAAGCACTGTCGTCTCAGCCCGCACCTAGTGATATGCTGATAGAACCTTCTCAGACGCCATTGCTATCACCTGCTTTCGGCCTGCCCAATACGAATGATCCAGACCCGTTTGGAGTAGTGGCACTTGAAATGGCGGGCATGACCATTCGTGAAGCTGGCAGTCACCTACGGCCAGACAGCAGCCAATTTGAATATCATCCCAGTCCGACTAGCCCGGTCTTTCCCAAGACAAAGCGTGGAAGTGTTGACACGGCAATTTCGCGAAGCAACCGGGGGAGTTACATGTCCACTAAAACCGTTGCTACTGTTGCTACTGAAAAGAGCCATATGACAGACGCTCAAACCCAGACTTTTCCCGCAACGCCAGAGACGACTCCCAGTCATAGCCAGAGTCAAAGTGAGGACGGCAACCAGGCACATTCTTCAGACGATGTCCCACAAGCACGTGAACCAGTGGAGGTTGACTATACGAAGATTGATATCAGCTCTTTGCGGATGCTCTCCAATTTCCCAGATCTAGAGGATCCACTGCCAGACACGCAACCTAAGGCTAGCGACTTAGCCGAGACTCATGAGCAGAAAGATGCAGCAGATGATGAGGAGAGTTCGCATGCGCCGAGCATTTCTATCAGCTATGAAAATGAGGATGAAACAGACCATGAGGATAACGAGGATCTTTCTGTTTCGAATGACGAAGATATGGACGAGGGGGAATATGATTTCGACGATGACGACGAACTCGATGGTGATGACGAAGCTGTTGTTTACGAGGTCGCCACAGCCCAGGCTCCCCCAAGAATGGCAATGGTTGGCTCTCAAGTTGTCCAGATCAAAGGGGCAGTGGTCAATATCCCGAAAAGAGTTCCGCCGCCTCTCCCCATGCGAAATGCTGCACGTACCTCACGCAGAAGAAGTCAGATGCCTGATGTCAGTAACATGGTAAGCAGTCCTCTTCGGCAGCACTTCGAGCCGTCGGAGAAATCTGGAGATGTTGCCACTCCCAGGACATCTCAAGTCATGGAGCCCGCAAGCCAATCCACTGAAGACAAGTTTGGAGTACAAGACCTACACAAGGACTATAATGGAACGAACCAACCCAAACAACCTACCAGTCCGATTGTAGCATCGCAAGATGTGGACAGCCTGATTGTTAAGCATGGGACAATGTTATCGGAGAAACAAGACACTGATGAGCTGGCCTCACATATTCCAGAGTCACAGCTCGACATCGTAACAGGTAAAGAGGTGCCGGTTCTTGTTGCATGAACCATTTACTTTATCACTCCCGAGACGATTTAATCACGACACAAGGACCATTTTCCTTTCGGACCTAATTATCATTTCAAGGCGAAGCATGGAGCGGGTGACATTCTACGGGACTACGGACAATGGGTAAAGACTATCATTCATGGATTTGCATGCTGCCCAGGATCGATGTACGATAAAGGAGCACCAGGAACATCATGTTCAGGGCCGGGTTACTGGGACTGCGATTCCGCTAGAGGTGTTCATGAGCAAGGCAGGAACAAGGCATCATGGACAAAAAATACCCTATTCATGAATTTTAATGGCTGTACATATAAAAGCTAATTGATGACCAAAGAGTAGTGTCATGCACGCGCACTTCGCAATCGACTGCTCCTTTTGTGAAGCACTGATTATGGTATCGCCCACCATGAGATCACATACGAGGTAGTTTCCTGGTGAGAGTCTAGGGACGTGAGAAGAGAACCGAGCAGGCATCGATCTGTGACAAACTTGACCTCTTTGACTTCTTTGCATCACAATGAGTGTCGCCAGTCCTGGCCTTGATCGCAGCTAAGTCAAGTTATAGGGAGCTGGCTCAAGAGGCGCCAGAACATCATCTGATTACTGAGAAGACAAGAGACCTACCTGATGCCTGATAAGTCTGCATATTGTCTGAGTCTACATGTTGAAGTGGTTGTGGTATTTGCACTTTGCAGGTATGTATATCACAAGAAATAAAGTGGGAAGTACAAGCGTGGCGGAACGATGGTTGTTCACGCTATCTGTTAATGAAAAATGCTTTGGCAACATTATGGGGGCAAGGGCATGTTACATAGTTCACAGGCTACGACATCTTGAATATTATGCTATTCTGGGAAACAAGGACGTCATGCTACACGTCGGTGTTGAACATGCCTGGTATCGAGGTTCTGCACGTGAATGGAAAACTCTTGGCCTTGCTCGGTCCTGGAAGTTCATTATCTGTAGGATTTCTGACTGTTAATGGGTGTCTCTCTCCTTATATCTAGGGTTCGATTCTAGGTTCCTTCCTTTCATAGGGTGTTGATAGACTGATGGTGACACATGGCCTTGAAGGCTACATGGAATACCCCAAAGAACACAGGCACAAAGTCGAAACTAGTGTGGCAAACAAGTGCACTGGCAAGTGGAAGTTACGACGACTGGTTTGACGTACATAGCTAACATTGTCGGCGAACACTGCCAACAAAGAAATCTTCGGGCGTGTGGCGCAGAGGTTAGCGTATCCGGTTCGCAACTGGAGGGTCGCGGGTTCGAACCCCGCCTCGTCCACGATTGTATTTTTCTCGCTTTTACTTTATTTTTCGGGCTCACTCTTATGCTATTCTAGCTGTTCCTGACATATGGAGCACACGCTTTTGAGCATACTACCGCAGATAGGGAAAGCTGATGGCAGACAATTCTTCACAGGTCTCAGCTATGCAGAGCCTTTGGGGTATTGATCTGGTGAACATTGTGCAGTCTTGCGTATTTAGCTAGCTCCTTGTATTAATCAGCAACAAATAAGCCCACGTTCGGGAAGGTGATGATTAAGCTGGATCCCATTGCAAGAGTTTCGTTGGTTCTGAACTGCGCTTCTTGTCGAAATTAAACATGGGACACTCGCTACTTCACTACTTGGTTTCCTGCTTGGCTTTTCCCCCTCTCTCTACTGCACTTGATGCGTAAGATTGTGCCTTACATCTATATTAAGTCTACCGACTGGCGTATCACGTCGCTCAGCAGCTTCTTGAACTGAGAAATGAGGTCTTTGATACTCGTGAGATCACACAGATGCATGTTTAGACTCAATCCAATGGTAATCTCGTATGCTGCGTCATCGGGTGATAAGGGAATAAGCCTCCCTGCTTGAAGGACCTGGCCAGAAGACGGATTTGATAGGCTAGGACAGGAAGGAACAGTCCTGCTGAACATAGACGGGCAGGATGGATATCGCAAGACATTTCCTCTTAGATTGCGCGCCTAATCTGTCTATTCTTCTAACACCCACTACCAACTTTGGCGCAGTGCAATAGTCCCCTGCATCAGCTCTACACACATAATACCGCTTCTCCGTCATACCTGGCGTGGATGTGCAGCACCTTGTGTCCTCTACTGCGATTTAATTCATATCCAACGATGAAACTATGCCTCTCTCCCCGGAGATTTGGAAACAGTCTCCCCCTTTTCTGCCCTCTAACTTGAGTAAAAGGGGTACAGCCAGGAGATACAGCTCATTTACTGTATACTCGCCATCTGCATACGGTTTTAATATCCCAGCCTATAATACTGAAGTATACAATCTGTCTCTACTGTTTACCTCTCGTCTTCTCGTGGTATCCCGTGCTCAAAAAATGCTTAGCCTGATGTTGTCCTTGGACCTCATGGTAGACCATCTCTTCCTAGTTGTTGATTTAGACATACTTAGTTGGATTAGGTTTACATCTTATCAACATATCTATTTTGAGTTGGAGACATTAGGAAGGCGGAATCGCAAAATCGATGATAGTTAGCGACATGGCTTCATCTGCTTTATTTCCCTGAGCTACAACTGACTCCTCGAAAATGACTTATTGTTGGCACGATAGCCATAAGGGCTCAAATCCGTGTCAATGATTTGGGGTTGCTTTACCAGTAGAACTTTGCCAGGTAGTCAGTCCCGGATATTTGTTGCCCTACCTTTGAAGTAGAGGGGATCTGTACAAGTTCACATCACATAAACATTATGTCCCATTATACCTTGTTTGCAGTGAGCCTTTTTTGCCAATCCATGAATTTTTAGATTTGATCAAACTCGCTGCCCCAGAATACAATGTTCGATCAGACAACAATTAGCTGTCAAGGTCATTGTCGATATGGGAGTGTAGGACTGGTCAGATTCGAGCCAATTCACAGTAACCAAAGAGGGTGACTAGTCGACCAGCTATTCGCTGTCAAGGCTGTTATCAACCTGGGGGTATAGGACTTGTCCCAACTGGACAAATTCATGGCGAATGAACACAGAGATTAATCCAACATTTATCCGGTGCTGAACCTAATGCTGGTATTCATCGCTGCTAAGAGACGCGGAAGGTTGGGGGCGTGCGTGAGCTGTTCTTGCGCATCACTAGATTAGTATGATGTCGTGCGTGTTGGTGCTCTGGCCGTATGACATCGTGACCCACGTTGTCGCCATCACCAATACCCAGAGAGCTGTCACATGCGTAGAAGTGAGCTTGGTCATTTTGTTTTGCCCTCCACAACACACAACACACAACACCCCCTCCCTCCCTCCACTCCATATTCTCCCACGCCTCTCTCACTTTCTCTGCCTTCTCAAGCTCACCACCAACACCAACGCACACTGATGCTCCTTTTGGCGCTTTGTTGAGACAGCTTTGGACCATCTCTTGTGTAACTCGTCTGCCTCTGGTCTTTGGCATCATGGATCATCACGAGGATGGCGGTGGTGGCCAAGCTGCCACCACCAATCTGGCCCACGGGGCCAACGGAGGGTGAGTTCCCCAGAGCGTTTTCTTTTGTTTTGCAATTCAGTTGCTTCTGAATTCTGCCCTCATTCTGCCCTTTGATTTTTTGCCTTGGCTGCTGATCAGGTTGTTTGTCTTTTGGTTCGGCATTGCGCTTCTGTTTCGGTGGTGTGGTGAGTGTATCGGCGGGACTGGGGGTGATGAGAGAGAGCCGCCGTTTCCATGCCCATGTTGAGCAGAGCTGCCGGCCGTTGTGGGGCCGCCGTGTGGGGCAGACTGGCCATGCCGCCACGGTCACCAGGAGCGGAAGTACCAAGTACCTTTGCTTGTTGCTTGCCTGCATTTGAGCGGTGCTACCCTGGAAAGGCGTAGAGCTTGAGCTTGAGCTTGAGGCAAGAGCTGCGATCGCGACTGACACCAATTCTAGCACTGCGCAGTTGGAAGCCGACCGCGCCTCGACCAGTTCTTTGAGCAGTCTTTCCACCTCGCCCTCTCCGCCTGGCGACACCCCTCCCGCTTTCTCCTTCAACACTCCTCCAGTCCGCGAAGCTCGCAAAGACACCAACACCAGCTACACTTTTTACCGCGCCCGCTCCCCCACCCCACGCGACAAGAGGGCCGCCCGTCGAAACATACGTCGCGCCCAGGTCAAACCCGGCAAGCCCAAGATGTCGAGCAACACGGGCAAGTGGCGCGAGGAGCAGGTCCTCATCCTGTGCCCCGGCAGCCAGACCACCATGGCCCAGCTTGGCGTCGCCGAGCTGACCCTGCCCTCCCACCGCATTCCTACCCGCATGTTCAAGGACCCCGACACCAACGACTTCGTCCCGTTCCGCATATACAAGCGCAAGAAGGACGCTGCCCAGAGCGCTGCTCAGACTGACGCTCCCAGCGGTGCTGCTGCTTCTACTACCAAGTCTGGCGGCGACGATGACGAGTGGGAGTATGTCGAGGACCGCGACAGCGTCGAGGGTGCCATCTACCCCATCATCAGTGAGTCGCATCGCCAATTGTGTCCGACATCGAGACCAATGGTCCCAGATCAGCTAGAGGCTGGGAAGTGCCGCCATCTTTAACTAACAACTTGGATGCAGGTAGCAAGATCGTCAACATGCCCGCCTTCCTCGCCTTCCTCGAGCACGTCCACAACCTGCTCACCACCACTTACCACAACACTCCCATCGTCCTGATGGTCTCGCCCAGCTGGTCGAGAGGTCAGATCGAAATCGTCACCCGATACATCTTTGAGAAGACCAAGACTCCCTCCCTGTGTCTCATGAACAGCGCCTGTGCCACCCAGTACGGAACCAAGCACCCCAACATGACTGTGGTCGACATTGGCTACGAGAAAGTCGACGTCACCTGTCTGCACGAGTACTACATTGTCAATCATGGCTCCTGCGGGTACAACCCCTCTTTACGTGAGATTTCGGGTGGTGAAGTCTTCACGCAATTGCTGTACTCCTTGCTCAAGGACAAGGGCTTCACCTACGACATGGCCGAGCAGCTCAAGAGAAGCCCCATCTGCGAAGTCCTACCCTTCATGCCTGCAAAGGAGCATGGCATGGACCTCCCTACCGATAATACTGGCAACAGCACCCGTGCCGAAGCCTCCCATAGCTCCGAGCCTACCAAGCCTGCCTTTGCTGCCGACGCCGACGTATCCAACGGCGATAATAAGGATACTGATGAGGGTGTTCTCGACGTGGCCAATATCGTTACTAGCGGTAACACGCGCGAATTCCTCGCCAAGCGCGAGAAGGAGAAGGCGGAGAAAGCCAAGGCCAAGGCCAAGGGAAAGGGTCAGGACGCCGAAGCCGAGAAAGCCAAGGCTCAGCGCGTGCCCAATTCCCAGCGCAAGACAAATATTTTCCACTACGAAGACTTGGAGCATGAAGACGTCGAGATCTCTGTTTCGAACGGTACTGCTCCAGCTGCTGCTCCGACCAACGGCGAGGCACCTGCCACAGACGGCGCGGCTAAAGCAGGAGACAAGCCAGAGGCGGAGCCTACTGCAACCGACGGCACGACTGGCCCCCCTTCTTCGGATTCGGGCCCGACCGCGACGGAGCGCCGAACCAAGCGTGTACGCAAGGATATCGAGGTGGGCCTGGAGAGATTTCTCTTTGCAGAGCGTCTTCAGATCGACCGCATCGTCGAGTGCATATACCGAACTATACAGCAGATCCCTGAGATGGGTATGCGCCCACATTGTTGGGAATGTATTGCCATCGTCGGCAATGGTAGCCGCATCAAAGGCTTGAAGGAGAACATCATGGAGACCTTGGAAAGGCGCTTCAAAATCTCCCCTAGCAGTGCTACCATGTTCGTGTCCGAACTCCCCTCTAACATGGCCACGCCCAGTGGAACTGGCTCACAAACCCCAACCGGTTCGTTCACTGGCCAGCTGCCGACATCAAGCTCTGTCAACCCGCTCTTGCAAGCCGCGACTACAGCTTCGCTCGGTGTCCCCGGTCACGCACAGGCGTCCGGCTCCCAGGCTGGCGGAAGCAGCCACCACCACCATGGTCAGACACCATTACAGATTAAGTCAGTCGCCTGGCCGAACTACCTCGCAGAGTGGAACAAGAGTGGGTTCGAGGAGGCCATGTTCCTGGGCTGTTGTATCGCTGGCCGCTTGGTTTATTGCAATCATCACGCGGACCCTAGATTGGCCGAAGATTACCGCATGAGCCAATATAGCCGCCTCGACTACAAGTGAGTATTTGCTTGCGTGCCGCCGCGGTGATTGACTGTGCTAATATTCTCACAGCGCGCTTGGTCCACGTGGAATCCATCATCGGAGTATGCTGGCTGGAGGCACGT